TGCGCCTCCGTGGTGGCATGCAGATCTTCGTCAAGACGTTGACTGGCAAGACCATCACTCTTGACGTTGAGGCTAGGATACCCAGACAAGCATCAAAAGAATCCAGTCGACACGACAGAAAGTGAAGCCGTATCAAAACAAAGTAAGACTGTATCGGCACACTTTGAGATAATTTTTGTCCTTGAACCGTCGAGGCCTCAGACACGATCGATAATGTGAAGGCCAAGATTCAAGACAAGGTCCTTGGGTGCTTAAATTAGTTTTCATGTTCGCTTTTTTTCCGGTTACATAGAGTTGTAGGGTTGGTTTACATGCGTTGTGGGTAGTTGCACACATATATGCGCCAGCATGCTCAAAGTTTCCCTGCGTGTGAAACAAGGAGGGTATCCCGCCTGACCAGCAGCGCCTCATCTTCGCTGGAAAGCAGCTGGAAGACGGGCGTACGTTGTCAGACTACAACATCCAGAAGGAACAGAGATGCCGATTTGGGATGGTTTTTAGTTTCCGTTATTGGTTGATTATAGCGCGCTAAGTCTGAGTCGTTGTGGGGGCTTGTTGAAAATCAGTACCTAGGAGAGCACCTTGCACTTGGTGCTGCGCCTGCGCTGAGTTTGCTGGGGCTGCAAGCAGTAATCCACAGCTTCCTGTGCAGAGCATCCGTGGACACCTTGATTGTACCTTCTAGCGAATTGCGGCTTAAATCTCCGAGAGGGAGTTGTTGTCATAGTTTGTAGTGTAACCCGCGCGGACCCATGCAGTGAAGCTGTGCATCACACTTTTGTTCCCAAGCCTGTCAAGGCATCAGGTGATACACCCATAACCAGACAGCTCCAGTAGCCTAGAGTCGGTGAAACTGCCGTCATGCTTGGGACTTCCAGGGTTGAATGGCGCTCAGCCGTTTGTACAGACTTCATCCTGGCCTCTTCGGAGACTCGTTGGCGACTTGTGCCAAAACCTGCAGAGCTTTTTGCGAGCTTTTGGGAGAGTCCATTGGACCGTTTGGGCGCAAAGTGTTTGTAACCACACATCCTTTGCCAGCCTCTGTTGCTGGAGCTACCAGATGTGGTCCTGAGAAGTATCACGCCGGACTCATCGTACTCATAACCAGTCAGCTAGTCAAACTCGTCTCGTGTCACAGGCCCGATACTCACTCGAATCCCACGTCGCAAAGGGTTACAATGGCTCGAGGGCCAAGGACAGCGATTTGTTTGTCAGCATTGTTCCGGCGCGACGCTTCTTCTGTCCGAGAAGCCGGAAACCCGTCGACCTGAACGCAATCTTTCTTCAGCAAGGCTGTTCAGGGATGAGGCGTAAGAGTCCGAACTCCCCAGATTGAGAGGCCGTGGCCCATGTGTCCTGACATCAATGGAGCCCAGGCAAAATCTGAGCCGAAGATCCGAAACTGCAGAAGTCTGATACTTGAGTTTCTGCAGGCAGTGGTGGGGCTTCTGCGAGTCCTGAGCTCAAACTACTTGGGGCTGAGCAGGGTTGTTTATTCAGCTACGAGGGTCCTGCGGTTTGCGGGGAAGGGCTCAAGGCTTCAAGAGATGCTTCATGACCTACTGCTACTGCCGCTAGCGCTGCAGGCATGTGGAGTAACGGATGGTAGTTTGTGGCTGGTCCACAAAGTCGTGCGGATTGGGTAGCTTACGCATTTGGAACTTGGTGAGGGTTTCTGGATGTCGGCTGCTTCAGACGCAACGAGCCTTGGACCTTATGTGGCGGAGTTGTGCATGGCCCTCCCTCTAATAGCGAAGCGTTACCATCAGCAGCAGCAATCGGAATGACAACAGCAGCTGCAATAATGTGAGCCTGATTTTGAAGGGCAAAGTGTTTGGGTTCTGCAACTGAGACGAAACTGAGTCCGACGTGGAACCAGCTCCCAAGCCCTCAGTCGGCCTGTTTCAGACCTTTTGATGCCCCAACAACAAAACCCGAAACGCCGATCCCCGAGCCCCCCAAATTCAAGAACACAACAGCAAAAGCAGCGCCCACGTCTCAGGGCCGAGGGGAAGAACAACCGGCGGGATCCGCAGAGGTCGGAAGGATCTGGAAAGAGTCGCTAATCATGTCTCTTTTTCTTGACATGCAGTCGTTTTTGTGAGTGTTCATGTTTCACCTATCTAGTTGCGGTAAATTGCACTATGATGATGGATATGCTTTAACCTGAGTTCATTTTCGGTGTGCTTATTCTCTTTTGCGTGCTCTTGATTGGCACCATTCTGCTCGTTGCTGTCATCGACTCGCTGGTACTGACGTTGTTATTGTTATTGCTGTTCTTGTTGGTTTATCGCTGGTACCATTGCCGGCTGTATTCGCAGATGCAAAGTAGTGAGTGAGAGGATGCCAGAGCTTCACCTCACCCAGGCAGCATCCGAAGAGTGTGTACTCTCGCGTTGGATGTTAGAAGTGCTGTGCGCGTATCTCGACTGGTTCGGCCTTCACTTCATGCAGGCTCCTGAGAAGGCTGGACCCCCCTAAACGACAGACAGAGACCGGCTTCCGGCATTTCCGTCACAGGCACACCCTCCACTCCTTGCGGCGGTTCTTTTCGCTGCGGGAGCAGGGGACTCTTCCGAAAATACGGCTGGCTCCTGAAAGATGCACAAGTGTTCATGCCTGCAATTATGACGCATTGCTGATCGCAGAGACATCGAGTCATAAGCAGCATGTTGTATATGTAAGCAGTATCGAACCATCATAGAGCAGCAGACGCAGTGTTGGTATGATAGTAATGTCCGTGATGGCATCACTGATCTCATCGGCAGTTGTGCCAACAGTGATAAACACGCACAGCATGGTACCGGTCTGGGCAATCATGACAGCAATGATGAGGAAGTGTTCATGGTGTTTGTGATATCAGCGAGAGGTAATGTTCACTAAACTCGAAGTCATGCGCATGAGCACATGCTCATTAATCTCATTATGACGCAGCATGTGCAAAGATAATTTTTGACCACACCGTCATCAGTGTTGGTACCATTGCCGTCCTCATCACGGTTATTGCACCATGACCCTCCTCCTCCTCCTCCTGCTCCTCCTCCTCCTCGTCCTACTCATTGGTTTTCCTCGTCAATGAGGCCTAGCTCGGGCCAGCCGGATCCCCAGACAAGGGATACTAAGTAGTGTAGGTTTCAGTTCAGGCTTCTTGCCAGGGGCTAGTTGAGGTCCTTTTTGGTGGTGTCTACATGCACGATGCCTCGCAGAATCACGGGGTCTGTTTAGCAGGATTTAGGGAAAGCGCCAGCACTTGATTTGAATGCTCAGCTGCTCGCAGGCATAACTGTCAAGCAGCACCTAGCAGTAACAGTCAGTGCTTGCCCTGCATTGGCAGCGCATCCGCGTCACTCCGCAGCGTCAGTAGGCAGCCGCCCCACAACTTAACCCAACGTCGTGGTGTCCTCCTCTATCGCGGCCTTGCCCTCAACTTTGCCAAGCTCTCTCAAGAGGCCAAACGACTTCAGCATTCAGAAGCATGGAAGGGACTCTTGACACGACAGTTCACTTGCAAGGCCTGACCCCGAGACGCACCAGTACTGGGTGGGGACCCTGGAGCCGAGAGAGAGCCCGCAACCCGCTTTGACCCATCGCAACTCAGATTTGGAGAGGAGAGGCTTTGTGTTCAGCTCCCCCTGCGCCTAGGCCCAGAAGCTCAAAGACGCACTACGGGCGTATCTTGGGCACGTCATGGCAAGCTGTTTCCTTGTCTACGGGAGTCGGGAGGCATTTGTTGGGCCTCAACTGCCGCGAGTTCGCGTTTAGAGCTGCCAGCTGACAGAAAAGGGTGCCTCCGTGCACAAGCACGCGGGGAAGCTTTGCAGACAGGAGACTGAGCTTCGGGGCCAAGCTTTAGACAGTAGCCGTATTCTCCTCGCTTCCTCCCGGTTTCTTTCAGCTCTTTGTCTTGGGCTGACCGTGTGTTTCTCCGCTTTCGTAGGATAAGACACGGCCAGGTCCACCGACTTGAAACAGCGCTGGTGGGACTACTGTGTCGCTTTGCTGGCAGCTTGAGGTTTAGGCTTTAAGCGAGAGGTTATGTTCTCAGGGCTCAAGGAGGTTTGCAGACCCGCTCTCTAGATCGCGGCATCTTCCACCACCACAACCACAACCACCACCGTTACGAATAAGACTGTCAGTGGGGGGCGGGTAGCAGCATCATGCGATAACTCCGAGACAGTGACCTGGACCAATTTGGATCCTTTCGATCCCGAGGACAAGCAACCTGGTGGACTGCGGGATCCGTCGGAGCCTAAGTCGACGGGTGGAAGGGGGTTTCGGCGCTCTGAGGGTGCTTCTAGGGTCCGCAAACAAAGCACAAAAGCGCCTAAACATTTCTACACCCGACAAATGGCTCTAAATGGAGAGGGGCAACAGATCCCAGCTGAAATCCCTACCCCTGAACTGTTGGCGTATCCTTTCATGGTCTCCACATGATTCTACAGCACCCACGAACATACCCTGATTCTGACTTTTCAGGCCGCTGTTGTTCCAACACCCGCAACTAGAAAACCAAGCCCCTTTTGCCGTTTTTACCGGTTCAGGGTTTCCGTGGGGTTTAGGCAACAGGGGCTTCAGGGGCTTAGCGAGGCTTTGGAGCTGGGGGTAATATAAGAGTCGGAAGAACTAGTAACCAATAGACTATTCCCTTATGGTGTCTGTATGACAACACTACAACATATCCCAAATCCCTTACTCCTAGTTGTCCAGGCCCTTATATTCGCCGACGCTTACCGTTCAAACTCTGGCTCGAAGATTGAGAAACTTGCCACGCCAAGAGACTCCGAGTGCGCGCAACCAGTTAAGGTGCTGAGATTGTCGGTGTGTCTTCAAGCAACGAACGCACTTGGTGTGTGCCCTTGTGCGTATCAAATCCCCGACCTTCCAATCCCCGGCATCCTTGGAACTTTCGGAGCAGAGCCGGGCCCTGCGCTCTGCTCTCCAAGACAAGCCGGAGACGCGTGAGCCCTGAGCTGCAGGCACCGTCACTCGACGAAGTCGATTCAGTCGCTCAGAATGAAGTGAGGCTTTCGTGGCTTCCGGGTCTCTGGCTACAGGGGTGCTTCTCCTGAGATCATGGTCGCAAAGGTAGCAAGGGGCTAATTAATGTTGAGCTGATTCAATTTTGAGACGTTGCGTGGTCACCCAGCTGAGCCTTGCGGCTCGAGCCCTCCACTCGTATGCAAGCACCCTGTCAAGCAGACAGACGTTGGCTTGTCAGTGGGCGGTAGAGAAGTGCCCTGCTGGAAGGCAGTATGCAGTTTCGTCTAGACAAGTTTAGTTTCTTGGTTTGCGGCAAGTTGGCAAGGTAAGTCAAGGGTTGGGTCGAGGAGTGAACAGGGTGGGTTGTGCGCCTCAACCACTTTGCATGCCCAGGACATTCTTCGAATTCTATGCCGGGGAGCCGGGCCCCCAAGATTTGCTTAGCTTATGCTCCAGGGTTTCGGCTTCGCAGATGAGAAGAGCCCTGAACCCTTCGTCTCACAGCCCTATTTTGCTTTTGAGTGAAGCCGAGAGCATCTAGGATCCCTGGACAGAGTGCATGGACCAATGACGAGGCACAGTAATCATAATCCTATCCTCACATCGAGGTATGGTACGCCACCGCTCCTGGCGGCAGCTGCAGCGACGGCGGCTGTGAGCCGCAGCCTCGATCAGTAGGGACTTCGGGGGAGGTGGCTTGGGCGTTGAAGGGTTTGGGGTTTTGCCGGGTTAGGGCTTGGATACGGTGTAGGGCCTATAGTTGGGGGTTCTCGCGGCTATGGTTGCGGGATCAGGTCGAACTGGCGGTGCGCAACAGATAGTTTGTTTGCAGGCTCCATGCGTCCCGTGGTCTGAAGGCCGAGAAGCAAGAGCCCCCAACCATTGCCGGACTCCACTGCAGCATCCAGGGTTTAGCTTTGGCAACGACTGCGCGCTGCCTTTCATCCCTGTGTCAGGTCTTGCCAACGACAAGGCCAGATCCGTCTGTGGCTCACAGAAGCCTTGAGAGCAGATTTGCGAGTGAGGGTTTTGAGGGATACATCAGAGGGCTGAGGGTGTCAATGTTGCGTTCTGAAAGGATTGGACCACTGTTGCTGGCCGGCTGTTCAAGAGCTAGCAGCTGGCTGACTTGGCTTCGCTGTGAGGCTATTCCGATCAATCGTTCTTTTCGTTGGTCGGCTTAAAGGGGTCCGGGGCTCCTCATCAGAGAAAGTCCGAGATCCGGCCCCGACACTTCGAAGTCTCTCACTGCAGGAGGCCGCGGCCGTCGCTGCGACGCTCGGGGCCTAGGAACTGAAGGCTTCCAAGAAACAAAGAGGTCGTGCTTGTGCATGCCCAGCTCGGACGGAACAGCGCTGAATGCGTCTGGAGAGGACTCCAAACAGAGAGCAAGAGCCCACCGAACCTTTCGAGCAGATGAGGTCGATTGTCACCTCCATCACCTTGGCCGGTGGGCAAAAAGCCTACGCCGGCTTCCCAAAGGGGAGTTCACGGCTTGGCGGTTTTCGACTTCAAGGGGCTCCAGGCCTCCAAAAATCAGCTTGGATTCGCAGGGACCAGGTAGTGAACCGCCTCCCAGGTGGTCCAGCTGAGGGAGCCTCTGGGGCCTGTGGCCTCCTGGCAGGAAAATCCAGGTTTTTCTGGGGGGTGGTCTGGAGGTAGCGAGCGTGTAAGGCGAAGAAGTCCTTTCATGAAGGTCTTGGAGGATGGACTGGCCGGCCTTAAGAGTCTGATTCCCGGTTAAGGCTCAGGGGCAGCTGCGGAATTCATTGTTATAGAAGCTAGAATACTCTTCCTTAGAGCCTTACTTTGACTGTCTTCTAAAATACCCCCAAACCCTATGCTGACTACTACAAATATTAAAGCTCTTTACTACGTCACTGTTCGTGATGTTTCTTCAATTGAGGTTTCTGATTTAGCGTGGAATTCATCGTTTCCTGGCAGGAGATTGACTGCACAGCGCCAAATTTGATTTCTTTTTGCAGGTCGCAGCCCCTGCATCCTCCCAAATATAGCTCCGAGAGTCCTCCAATGAAATGCATTAGGTTCCGTTACTTCCGTCTTGAAAACTACGAAAGCCTAGAGTTTCATCCCAAACTCTACTGGTCAAGCCACATTTTGGGGCAAGTAGGTCCCGACAGCTGCCGAGACACTCCGTGCGCTTGGGCCTCAGTTGGCAGGGATTTGTGAGAGAGCCCAGGTGAGAGGTTTCTGTGGTGAGTTGGGGTGGGAGGAAGAAGATGGTTTGGAGTCATGGCAAGCACGACGCCTCGTGGTTTCAAAGTGAACTAACTCAAGAAGCTTATTCTCAAAATTTCTCAGCGAGGTCTGAGCGGCCCTACCTCCTGCCAACGCCCAATGCGGCGCTGCCCATTCCATCTGCTCTCCGGTTGCAGCTCTTACAGGGCATGAGAGCTGAGGAGGGAGAGGGGTTTGTGCAAAACAGGCGCATGCCCCAGCACTGCTGCCGGCTGCTTGTCATGACAGCGGGTTGGATTGAAAGTGGTAGACTCATGGCTCGACTTTTTGGTGTCCATAGACGGCATCTCATGCCCGCTTGTCTTCCCCTCAACGCCAGATCCGAAGTCTCGCGCCCTTTGATCCCTCACACCTGCCTCCCCGAAGCCGAGGTTCCAGCCGCTCCCCCGTTGCTCCTCATCGGCGGACCCCCGTCCGGGCCCCGTCGGTGTTTTTGACGAGGGTGCACGGAGTTGTCGGGCACAGAGCGTGGGGTCTTTAGGCAGCGCATCGGCCACAGTTTGGCTGGCAGGGTGAGCTGCAGGTTGACTCCGTGTCCGACGGCCTCCCCGCTACCGGCGGCCCCGCGAGAACGATCGCGAACACCGCCCACGCAGCGCGCGTGAAAAAGGGAAAAGGAAGTCCTAGGCCCTAGGCGATTGGTGTGCGGCCCTGGTCCCTTTAACGCCTTAGGCTCTTCTTGGAATGTCCGGGGGCTTCATTCCGCAGGTGAGAAGCTGAAACTCTACGTAGCTCGATCCAAGAAGCTGCTTTTTGCGGGGTTGTGCCCGAGTGGAGGGCCTGAAGTTGCGAGGCCTCAGCCTCAGTTGGGCCTGTAGGCCTTCCTGGGTTGGCAGCGAGGGACCTGCGAAGTTGAGGAGTCTTCGGTTCCGCGGGGTCGAAGTCGAAGACTTAGGTGTAAGTTTTGAGTCGCTCTGTGGGTTCCGTTGCCTTAGTACAGGCCTAACGATCGAAGTTCGGGAGTTTTTGCTTTGGTTGGGGGTTTAAGTGCATCGGCTGTGCGGGCGACCCACTCCGTTGTCAAGCTGGAGCTGTTTACTTGGGCCGGTCGCGATGAAAAGCAAAGCCCGCAACACGAAAGCCCATGCCGAACGTGCGATGATCCTGAAACCCCACCCCGAAGGAGTTCTCTGACAATCCCGTCACCCCGTTGCCCTCCCGGAGCCCTTCACCCCAAGACTCCAAGCCCGAAGCGAATAAATGTCCTGAGCCCCTCGCTCGGAAGAGACGATGGCGCGGGTCGGGGCGTGCTTGGCTGTGGCTGTGGCCGTTGCTGCTCCCGAAGCAGCACGTTAGCCTTTGTCGCGTCCGGGGGTGCAAGAAGGCTTCTTTGGCTTGGGAGTTTCTAGGATAGCTAGGGCAGCTAGGGTACCCAAAAGTTTAAATTAAAAAAAATAGGGCTATTCCAAATCCCAGGGCCTGCACCTTCCGAAGCCCGGAACGAGCGAACAATCAAGTCTTTCTTTTCACGCCTTCTCTGAAAGCGATGCTCCGATGTTCAGCATCCCAAAGCGCTTGTGCAGTTGGTCTGGCACGCAAGCCAGAAGCCTTCAACCCGGTCAGCCGCCCTCGCAGACCGTAAGCTACAATCACCCAAGCAAGTTGAACACAGAGTCAGGTTGCCTTGATCGGGACCAGTGCCGGACAGTGGAAACTGCAGAGGGCTGCAGCAGTGCTTTGGGCCAAGTTCGGAACCTCGCCTTCACAGTAAAGGCCCCAACATGAGGTCCACCGAATTTTTCATGTCAAGCGGTCCCGAACTTGAACTGAAGGAACCGACGTGCGCCTGCGCCGGATCTACGAGCACTCTTTCCCGGGCTTCGGAGCTTACAACTTCACCTCGCAGACCTGGCCCGCCATCGAAAGGAGAGGGCTCTCACATGTCTTTCTTGGGATTTGAGTTTAACGCGGTTCAGGCACCTTCGGCGGTTTAGACGGTGAAGAGATCTCGAAGGCCTTATGACGACAATGACCCCTACATCGTAACGTACTTCTTGAAATCGCGTGCCAAGTTTAACCTTTAAGCAGCCCCTTTCCCAGGATTTTAGTCCAACGCTTGCAGGAGGAGCTTGGCATCCCTCTCGGCCGAGGAGTTCGAGGAGAGGTATGTCAAAGAAAGGCGGCCGGTGAGCCTCAACTCCACCCAGCGCAGGTTCGGCATTTCCTTAAGGCTTTGCTTGGGTTTCGGCTTTTCGGGTCTGGGTTGTTGAGGGTGAGCGCCCACTGGGAGGGGAAGTCTCAGCGGCTAAGGGGCCTCCAGTGAGATTCACCCTGCGGGTGCACATTGGGATGACGAACGTGGTCCTCAAATCGTCAGCTATCTACGTTACAATCAGCTCAAGAGCTCCCTTCAATGTCTCCAAAGGATTCTCACGGACCTGGCGCCCCAATCGACCTGGAGTCCCAAAGCTCTTCTGAAGAAGTGCGGGCAGATGCCGCTGACTTTCCATCGGACACTCGGTTCGGAAGGGTTCTTTCAAAGGATCGTGCTTGGAGGGTTTTCTGTCTTTGGTGCTTGGGCCGGAGTCTTCACGTGCTCTGGCCATGTTCTGAGATGCGTCTTGGTGATGCAGGGGCTGTGCATCCATTCTTCACACCGAATCCCTGCAGGAGATACTCGGCCGGCCTCCGCGCGATTCCGGCCTTCCTCCGGAAGCTCTTCCTGGATTCCAGGCTCAATCCCAAGGATACAGAGCAAACTCGATCCGAAAGGCCCAAAGCCACAAGCCCAGAAGGCCGAAGCTAAACCGGTTTGGTTGTTTGGGGCCTACTGTAGGACTTCGATGTTCAATGGGCTCCAGGTGCACAGTTGTCTCAGCAAGGACCTTGTTTGGGCATCTGTTATTACTCTTGGCAGCGCCAGCCCTGCCCTGCGGAAGGCTTCGTGAAGCCTACAACCAGAGCACAGATGATGTGATCAAGGCCATGCATACGACAAGATCGATGAAGGAGGGCGCCGATGTGTACTTGGGATCCTGATGTTAGTATTGCCGCATCTGGAAATAAACAGAACCAAGCTCACCTTCATCCTTAACGACTCGTTGAAGCTCAACACGCCGATAGGAGTATCTTGGGGATTTGCCACTGGACGAAAAGATCATCGCCAAAGGGAGGAGCGAGGCAGGTCTGTGCCAAGACGGCACTGGGAAGTAAGCAGCTCGTTTGACTTTTCACCCTTTTCATTAGATTCAAGCTGCTTCGCCTAGACATGGGCAGGGAGGGCCCAACATCTCCAGCATCGAGCACATCTTGTGTGGGCTCGAGGGAGCAGGAGGGAGCCTCCATGATTGGTCGTATATCTCACGGTAGCCCCTAAATAGCAGGACCTGATCGAAAAGTGAGATCCCCGAACCGGACTGTCGGTCAAGCCAAAGCACATTGCCAGCAGCAAGGAAAGCATTGCAAGTAGCGGGAACCTTGCGCGGATGATGCCGCTGATGATGATGTATCCTGTCTCAATGCGTCGCCGCTGCAGCCCAACTCAAGCCGTTGTTCCTGATTCACAGAGTTTCTCTCTCACCTTCCATAGCAAAACGTTCGTAGCGTTGTGAAACACTTGTTGCTGCGATTGGTATTATTGCCTAAACTATTGCTCGGGCTTTCCTCTCTGTCTGGCACAGGCCCATGCAGGAACAAGAATCTCAAGCACCAGTCTTGTCGAAACGAGTCAGGTCATCTCTAGACTCTAGTCTTCGAATCTACTGGTACTGCAAACGCAACGCTGCTTGCCATCACTATCCTTGCAAGGTATCAGGACCAAATCGTGGACTACATCTTCCCAGTCATGGTCAGCGCGCAAGAGTTCTACGAGTCTGCCTGCCCCGAGCTGCTGCTTACCTAACTCCTGACAGAGGGGCAACCAATCCGAGGGGAAGTCTAGAACCCCCTCCCGCAATCCAAAGTGCAAATATGCACAAACAAGGTGAAGCTCCAAACCCTAAGCCTTCGTAGAAGCTCTAGGCAGACGGCCGCGGAACTGTGGCAGAACTGGGAGCATGTGCCGGGCATGGTGCGATGATGCTATGAATGAGATTTTCACGTTGGCGGCTGTGCTAGGGCTTTGAGTGGTAAACAGCAGAGCCAGGTCTTCGGTGTAGACCCTGCTGTGCGAAGCGTGTCCGGAAGGGCCACGCATCGAAAGCAGTCCTGCGTGCGGAGGTTTGCAGAGGCCCAACGCACGTTGCGGCGGCTCCGAGACTTTGCTGCTGGGCTTGCATTTGCTCCGAATGAGTACATCCCTTCCTGCATGGTTGTATTTACATGTACGTACAGCGCTATGTAAGAAAAACATGCGCGTAGACTTGTGTCTTACATACCGAAAGCGGTAGAAATAAACAGTAGCGAAATGAGGTTTGATTATGAAGGGAGCAATCCGTTTTTACAGTGTGTCAGGTATTGTGGCAAGGTATGTGGTAATGTGTACAGTTAGATTCAGACATGTTGGGTCGTATAGCTCTTGCTTAAGCAAGGGTCCCTGGTATCGGATTCAGCTCAAGATCCCTTGTTCACCTCTTCCGACAGTATCGCCGGAGTCCTTGGTTGGCTTCAGGATTTCTGGGTTGTTCGGAGATGTCCGGATGATTTTGAATATGCCTTGGATGTTTGATGGCTCAGTCTCAATCGCAGATGGTCGTGTCCTTGAAACTAGGCTGGCGACAGCAGTACTCTGCCGGTGCAGTCTTCACAAATGGCAAGACGGGGCTAGACTAGACATTGTTCTGCTGGAACAGCATACAAGCAGGGAGCCACATGACGGAAGCTACTGTAAGCTGCTCCTGCTAGTACCCGAAGTTATTCTAGTATCGGTGAAGCAAAATCATTTGGCCCGAGTTCCAAGCCTCTGAGGCTGCGGACGGCCGGCCCAACAGCCCACAGTTCAAGCAGATGTATCCGGTCCCCTGTCCCGCTTTGGGCTTCAGACTCACCTTTCCACCAGGTAGTAACACATTCTCATGTAATGCGAAGTAGTAGAAGGATACAGCATATCATGCAACATACAAGGCCAGACCTTAGTACCTCATACTCGAATGCAGTATAATGCTAACCCCTTAGCTACCACGACGAAGACATCTTGACAGTAGCACGACTTTCTTTACCCCTGATGGGAGCTGTTTTGAGCCCTGACAAGAGATCTTTCGTGCCAAGTGTTTGACACTCTAGGTACAATGGTGCTAGTCCCTTATAGCATTTCTTGTGGTGCAAGCTTCGTTTCCTTGTTGGGGTGTCTGTTTTGAGTTTATCACTGCTACCTACCTCTGCAAGTCTCACACGGGACCGAGACCTTGATTGACAATCTGGGTTCCGTTGTGTTGTCAAGATCTCGACTTGCCAAGAACCCAAGCCCCGACCTCGCTAGCCCCATGCCCGAACGCATCCTGACGAAGACCAGCAGACCCGAAGCACTTAACAGATTTGATGTAGTCCAATGAAGGCAACTACGCACAAGACCGTGTCATCAGTGAAACCAGTCGCGACGGGGGTGACACAAGACCATTCCCATCTGATGATATTAATGATGCTGATGATAGAAATGGCCAGGGCCATGGCAGCAGCGATGGAACGGATCATCACAGGTGGTGATGATCGGCAGTGGCTGTCATTGACA